GTTATTTGCAGCATTATCACCGTAACTGCTTGCAGTCTTGTGTTTCGGTGGACGTACATGTCATTGAAATATGAGAGTCTTGTTTAGAAAGATGTGGAGAACCAGGATTGATGTCTGGTCCCTCTCAGTCCCAAGAGCGAACAACTTCCCAAACAAAGAGCACAAACAAAAGCCTTCCCCCCCTCCCGAAGATTTGAAAGTATCTTGTCCCTTTATTGGTCCTTTGGGTCAGGTGTCAGCCAGGTTACCTGAGCTTCTTAACCCTTTACAGGTAAAAGGATTTTGGAGTCTCTGGCCAGGAGGGATTTTATAATACTGTACACAGGACAGCTGTTACCCTTTCCTTTATAGTTATGACAGGGCCCCAATCTGTAAAATTGAACTATAGATCTGAATTTCCCCCAAGTTTGCAATAAACACATTTAGGACTTTGGTTAAGGCTCATTAATATGAATAGAAATGTCTTCTTCTTTTTGTTTTCAGTGGTATGAGTCTATGGAGTTCATCCACTTTTTGAATTTTTGGAGAAATAAATCAGAAATTTCAGACTGCTAGAAAAGCGACTTTAAGTACCTTATTGATAACCTTGTACACTTCATAGGCAGCACCTCGAGCATTAGCAACACTTTCCAAGTATGGGGAGCCCTGGCCGAGAAAGAATGCACCAAGGAGCAGAGAGAATAATACCTACAGGGAACAAAAACAGGAGCTATAGTAGAGTGGTTCCAGACCTGCAGTTTCCTTAGTGCTAAATGTCATGGTAATCCTGGTAGTTCTGTAAGAGCTTTTCCAGAAAAAATATAAAAAAGAAAATCAAAACTAAGATTTCAGGCTGCATTTTTCCAGTTCCCCCAGTTTTTATTCTTTCACTGGATTTGACACAGGAAGTGGTGAATGTAGCTACTGGGTGCAGCCACATGGCCTTTAACAGTTGGATTAGCTTTTTTTGTTGCTGCTGCTTTCATTAACTCCCATTAAGAGAATAAATAGTGAAATTAAACATCTCTCCATCTCTTTGCAATATTTAAAACCTCAGCGTCCTCAAAGAGAGTTAATCCAGTTTCCTGAGGCCCCAATCCTTCAAAGCGCACACTTAGCATTATACACTGTAACTAGTTCCATTGAAGTCAAGTTCTCATCAGAAATCAATGGGGCTACTCACAGTGCATAAAGCACGTACCTAAGTCTTTGCAGGATCAGGGCCTTATTCCTTTCCAAAGGAAAAATAATCTAAACGTATTGGTAAAGTACAATAATCCCTTGCAGGGATTTAAAAAAAATGAAATATGGTCACATGGCTGTGACACTGGCAGACCAGGTGCCAGCTCATGCCAAAGTTCCAGACCTCACTGAATGCTTACAGATCACATAGCTGGAAGCCAGGTCAATTCACTTGTGTATTAGTATAGACCAAAGTGATTGTTAAATGTATAGGAATATATCTGGTGTTTAAACTTCATGAAAACTAATGGGATGTTAATGCATTGTTTTAAGTAATGCATTGTTTTCACGTATCTGGATCCCGTTATAATACTGTAGCAAATGTTCACATAGTGTATGCCCCTGTCCGTAAATAACCCATCAAATGAGAAAGAAGTCTTGTGGAATGCC